CATTAGTGCTCGGATGTTGGCGGCGAGAGATGTACTGTACGTAGGAATGCGGTTCGTGACAAGTACAACAGGTTAAGTGAAGCTACCGTTTGACTAACATCTAATGTACCACAAGTGGCATCTACCAATCTTCTATGGCAAGCCAAACATCACACTAAGATAATAGTGGACATGACTTTTGTCTCACATTTTGAATGGCTTCATCTGTAGGCATTGGAGTTTAGTGCAAGTGTATTAGAGAAAGGCAGATTTTTTTTTGTGTGGAATGAACCATGTGTAAAACGCTTTTGCTAGTTTTGTCATTAGAGAAGAGAGAACAGAAAGGAGAAACCTGGAAAAGGAAGGAGCTCTAAGGTCTCCTCCAGAATGGAACCAATGAGAGAGCTAGGATTCTGGAGGGACTTCAAGTACAGTAACTATGGAGAGCCGTGCAACTAAAAATCCAAAAGATCGTTTGACATGGCTAGCATGCGTCCTGCAACGTTATAACAGTCTGAGGGCATGTATTGTCACACGATGTTTAAGAGGAATTATGCATTTATAACTTATTAATAAATACTCTAACAATACTCTAAACAATAATACTCTAATTTGTGAGCACTATGATTTTGCAGTTATACATTATATTCTTCTACCTGCTGGAACATATTTTAACCTGCAAAATAACAATGATATGCAATATTCATTTATATACTGTATAGTGCAGCTATTTGTTCTGTTTTAAACATTTATCTGTATTTAGCTTCTAATGTAATTAGTAATTCAAATAAATAGCTGTCTGGAAGATGTTCTGACAATTAACAAATCTGAAATCTGAGGAATACCTGACTGAAATTGAACTAAGCCACTTCTGAGTTCATTTAAAAAAAAACAAACTGTGACCTAGATAGAATAGCACTGGTGAGTTAGGTTGCTGTTGTCATGGGTTTCCTGTTAAGAGTAGAAAGTGTTAATGCAAAGATTTAATGGAATTTGTTACTTTAGTATCATAATGAAATTGGTCAAATAGAATTTAAGAGAAGTAGTACAGTAAATACTTAATTTTTACCTGAAATGATTTTACATTTGTCCTACAAATATATGCAGCTGCTCTGCTTAAAGACAAACTTCACAGTTCTTCGCAAATATCTAAATATAACTGAGCTTGAAAAAGCACAGTGAGACAAGATTTTTTTTCTTCAGTGAGATGAGAGGCTTTATAGAGGACCTACAGTAGTTGTTAAAACATTATAATATAATACTGATAGACTTCCTTCTGTAATTTTCTCTCATTTATATTAATCTGTCAAGTTACATGTTAAAGAACAATAGAAACAAATAAGAGTACAATCTGGATTAAATAATGTGAAAAGATTAAATAAAAGGGCAGGTCATATCGTGCAATCATGTCTCGTCTTTACAACAAAGAAGGCTGTAACTTTCAGAAGGCTTTTAGTTTCTTTTGTCAAATGCAAAAATAAAACATTGCATTTTTCTCTATGTATTACTGTATATGATGTTTTTAAATTAAATTATTTTTAATTTAAAGCCCAAAGAGGGTTCAAAGACTAAGCACTTCTTCACAGTTTAATTTGAATAATTTAAGGAAACATTCATTAATGTATCGTTGAGTGTCTGCAAGAAAGAAAATTGATCTTTTCAGGCAAATTAAGGTTGATTTTTTATTTTCTTGGATTAGAAGAAATCCAGTTTGCTTCTGTGTGGCCAATTGTTCATTTTTCAATTGCAGGTTCAGAAAACATTTGAAATTCTCAGAACTTCATCCAACAAGATTGATCTGAAAAAAGCATACCAACAATTTGGAAAGGAGCTAAATGTATTGGATAATCTGGCCCATAAGAGACAACAGGTAAGCATCTTCTGGTCTAAAAGAATATTCTACTTTTTCATAGTCAGGCAAGCACATATGCATACCTATTAGTGTGTTTTTGTAATGTTTAGCTAACAGGCTTTCTTCTCATTTCATCTGGTTTAAACTTTTTTTATACTGTGAAAATATGTTTTAAAATAATGACACGACAACAGTTTAATTTATGATAAATTCACAATCTAATACATTGTGGATTGCAATAATGGATGCATTCATAGAGGAAATGTTTAAAATAATAATAATAATAATAATAATAATAATAATAATAATAATAATAATAATAATAATAATAATAATAATAATAATTGCTTACACTTATATAGCGCTTTTCTGGACACTCCACTCAAAGCGCTTCACAGGTAATGGGGACTCTCCTCCACCACCACCAATGTGCAGCATCCACCTGACATAATGACATAAATTAAATATTTTTCTCTTTTAGATTTTGTATAAAAAGATTATATTGATAGATTTTCTTCCCAGAGACACAAAACATGATGATCAGGCCATGCTGAAAAACAATCATTTGGATACTGAGACATTGACAATGATGATATAATAATAATAATAATAATAATAATAATAATATTCCAACATGTACAAGAGTTGTAAACATTCCCAAGATACAAAAAAAGAATTGTGCATCCGTTATTGTTTTGGATGGTGAATTTGCACAAATACATTTCAATAATGTAGTTTGCCTATCTCTGAATCTCTGAAATTATAGCTAGCAGCATAACAGAATAAATGAATATTTTAGAAATTCTAATGAAACTCTTAATGTATCTGATAAGAGACATTTGTTACTGAAAATATGCATTCAAATGTTTGACATGATATTTTAAAGCATAGCTATAATATAATAAGTTCTTAAAAACCACAAGAAAACATCTGTGGTAAGGTTTTACAAAATGGTAGCTAAAGCGATGTTACTAGAAAGTGTTTAGTGTTGCATTTTGGGGTTAAGACTACTGTAAAATAGACTTCTGTATGCTCATTTATTGCCATTGACATTTTCTTACATCTGACTTTAAAATGTACCTATTTATAATTTTGTGAACATGAAATTTCTGATATAATACTAGTATATTTTTAAAGTGGATTGCAAGAGGTGAATTGCTTTAATGGTTTTAAATCAAAAGGGCTTTAAATTTATTTTTTAGCCATGAGATAGCAGCCTTTTTCAAATAAGGATTAGGCTGCAAATCCTCAATTATTGTACACTTGCTTTTTGTCCTTGAAATGCTGTATTGCTTCACCTTGATGGTGACCAGATATTTTAGTGATCTGCTTTTGTTTGTCACAGGTTTGTCAGACCTGATCAATAATTATGACATCTAAACGTCAAATCCATCAAACTGTATTACTTCAAAAGGGGGTATAAAGTAGTATTAAGAACACAGTTTAAGGTAACTGAACAGCATGTGGTATGTTGCACTCTTTGCATATTGGATTGAGTGGTCTGAAAGTAACCCCTGAAGTGGGCCATGGGTACAGTACTATATAATCTCATGGATTTTATAGCCTGATGAAATAAGTTCTATGTAGAGCACAGTGGGGGCTTAATCGTTCCTGAACATGCATAGCATTCAACAACAGCATGTGAAACAGTATAGCACTGATCTTATTTTCTTTGATATTTAGGGATATGGTATAAATCAACGTTCTTTGGGGAAAATCGAGTACTTTAGTCCATTTTTTACTAAAAAGGCAAATACACCATATATATTTTAAAAAAAATATTTTGCTTATTTAATCACAAACTTGTTTTAACCAGGGTGTGAACAGAGAATGGGAGCCAGAGAGTATTTTAAACACTGATACAAAAGTTAAGAGAAGGAGGAAAAGAAGTAGAAAAACCTGGCTAATCAGCCCATCATTTGGTTTTTAGTTCCTTACTGACAAAATTCTCAAATCTAGGTGTTTCTTGAAATAAATTTAGTTATCAGTTTCAACAACATGACTGGGCAGCTTTCTGTTCACAGGTTTAAATGCATGTCAATATAGTTTCTATGTGTATTTCACTGATTCTGAAGAAGTCCCTTGGGTTGTTGTTGTAGTAAAGTGCCTTTTACGGATATTGAATGTTTGAAATAAAATTAAGATACAGTTTTTTTTATTCTGTCAGTGTAGAAAATTGAAGTTCCAGGATATATCTGGTCACTCTTTTTTTACTGACTCCAAAACAGCAAGACCTGTATTGTATCATGATGACAGAAACTGTACACAATAACCTAAATGGAGTAATGAAGAATGGGTTATTTCTTCAATCTCTGTGTTTCCCACTTTTTATTGTTCAGCTTTAGGTGACTGAGGAGTGGCTGTTAGATTTTAGATTAAGTTTGTGACACTTGGCATAGTAAACATTTCTAGCTTCAAAGCAGAGAGGATGTTTGTTGAGATGTGGGGGTCCCTTAATCAGAAACCATTGTAAAGTTTACCTAGTATACCTAGGTAAGTTGTGGGTTAATGATTTTCAATTAGCAGTACAGACACACGCAATATACTGTAAGATCACACTAAGAGCACAGGGAAAGAGCACAGAGAGAGAACAAGAAAGGAGACAACAAGTAGAGGGGAGAAACAGAATGAGGAAGAATAGAAGAGGAGAGAGGAGTTGGAACTTGAAGCTTGTGCCAGGTGAGAGCCCCTACTTTATGATCATCCAAACCAAAACTGACTGGAGCTAAGTGAACCTTGCTAAAGAGAGCTTGCTATTCTGTGTTTTTAGGGAACTTGGATTTCCTGTGTAAAGATACCATGGTTGGAGACGTATTTCCTGCTTGTGGGTGTGTTTTAGATTAGGGAGATAGGCTCCCTTTTATTTTGTGGCATCCGGGGTCCAGAAAGAGAGATTCAACTGCAGTTTGTATTGCATTTATGTAGACGGCCTCTCGTAATCAGACACAAGCTTCTTCTAATTTCAGAAGGTACAGACATCATATCTAATTATCCGATCAGCCCTCTCAATCACTACCACACCTCACAGCTGCACACTACTTAAGAACTGTTCACATTTACCTCTGTGCACAGAATTGGGTTTCCCTATCAAGCCTATCAAGCCTCTTGTCCACACCTTAGAAGCAACTTCCTTGATCTCTCTCTTGTAATTCTTGACTTCGCCTTTCTCGGATAAGTACACCCGGCTTATGCCGCCTTAACATATCTCTTATTTGGCCTCTGTAGGCATAATTGAAGAGTTTCTTATTTAGTAGATGTCTGGGTTTTTTTCAGGGTGATTAGAATCTTAGGCCTCTGAAATGTCTTGTTTGTAAATACTGTACATAGAGTAACTTGTGTGTTGTATGTTTTGTTGAGTTTGTGTTTAGTGTCGTTTGTGTCTTTTCACCATTAATATGTATTTGTTTAACCAAGTTTGCTACCTGTATACAGTACTCTTAACCTGTTAATATTCAATACAATATGCCCAGTCTTTTTCCTCTATTGGTATTCTTTGCAATGTTGACAGGTTTGTTTGCTATACCACAACTTACAGTAGATATTCCAAATAAATCAGGAAAAACAGCAGTGATCTTAATATGCATCTTTGAGATACTGCACTTATTACATCATTTCAATTTCAGAATTCACTTTACCAAATTTCCTGTCCATTAACCATTTTTTTAATTCAAGTACTGTTCTGTACAGCTCCTGTTCTGTTTCAGTCCTTGTTCTTTTACTTGTTGTTATTTTCATGTTTCTCTTTCTTCTGGTTACTCCTTGTTTCTTTTCCCTGGCTTCTTTTGTTTTATTTTATTTGAATTCAACCTGTTTCTGGACTTAATTTGTGGACTTTTTATCATAGTGTTCTTTTAGTTATCCGTGTCTGTTGGAACCTGCATGGTCTATTCCCTTACTTAGTTGAGCTGTCTAGGCAGCCATTGCATAGTCTGTGCAATTTTAGAACTAATCTAGTCTGTATTTCCTTGTTTAGCTTTGTGTTCTTTTTATAGGTGGGTGATACATTAGAAACCTTCGAGTCAGTAGGTGTGACCATTGTCTAGAAATAGTTGTGAAAAAGTTTTGTTAAAGGCCTATGAATGGCAATTCTTGTTTCCCGATGTACAATTGAAATCCATTGTACCATGGAGATTAAGTGTCTTGTGTTCTTCATACCTGTAACACTTATACCTGTACCTCCTCTTTGCAATTATTACAAAGAACTTTGTTTGCTATAATGCTCTTGTGTATATATGCTCTTGTACCGTTGTAATATCCTTTGACTATTCCTTATAGTCTCTTGGCCTTTATAATATTATTTTAATAAAATTGGAAGACTTGTGTTTGTAGATGGGTAACAATAAGAGCCAGTTTTACTCAAGGCTTAGAAGACTATTGTGTGAGTCAGTCACAACACTGAAGTCATACAAATGCATAGTAATATTCCAACATTACATTGGCTGTTCATTAAATTCTGTCAGGTTTAGTACAGTTTGTTAAGGCACACTTGACAAATGAACCTAAAAATATAAAATCCATACCGTGTATTCAATAATGTGTTCAGAAGTTTTCGCATTGGAAACATTTCTTTCTTCTTGCCTTTCTGCATAAATGAACTAAATTAATAATCAGCTGGTGAATTTAATATGAGGATACTGTAGGTTAAAAGGGTATATAGTGTGAAATGTTTGGGAAAAAGAGCAATTGCTGTGAAATCTTTGTACTAGTGTTCTTTATTTGCTGTCAAAAATAACTGAATGTGTCACAATCAATTGGCTTGTTTTGAAATATTTTTAAAAAGGTTGATGCAGAGAACTTTTAAAGGTACCGTAGGTAGATTCTTTGGAAATAAGATCCACTGATTTAGTTACTAGGGTACCATTCATTAATTAGTACAATTCTCTGGGACTGTTTGCACAAAACAAACTCCTTCCTGCTGTTCTGTTGCATTTCCATTCTAAATGGCAAGCTTCTGCTGGTAGCTGTTGAGCCTTTTTCACGAAAGATTGTGTTTCTTCTTTCTACTTTTCAGTGTGGAA